GGGGGAGGGCGGGAGGGTACCGGGAAGGGTTTTTGAACGGCAACATTTGATTATTGTTTTTCTTTTTTTTTTAATTTTATTTATTCTTTTAGAATGTGACAATTTCATGAACAGCCACATTGAGGAGGAAACTGTAACAAATTGCTACAGATGCCTTAAACTATGCACAAAGCTAAGTGACCAAATTTGTTTTTGATTTGAAAAATAATAATAATAAAAAAAGTGCATTGTTTACGTATTCCTCCCTCTACTGAAACCTTACCCACTAATGGGTTTTTGATGGGAAAAGGAGAAAATGTTTTTTAGGACAAAATTAAAGGACTAATTTTAAACTTAAAACATTCCATTTTTGTAATTTGTTTTACATTGTTTTAAGTACAGTAAGCACAACTGTAATCTAGTTTGAGAAACTGGTGCTTTCTTTTAGTTCATTTGTATTTCCCTGTTATTATTGTAAAAGACTGTTTATTAATTCTGTTTACAGTTTGTTGCAACAGCCATTTTTGGGAGAGAGCTTCAGCGTAAAGCCATTTGTAAAGGCTTTGCCATATTCATTTTAATATGTGCCTGTTGCTGTTAACTTTTAATTAATAAAAAAAAAAATCTTTTCACGTTATGCTCCTGTACATTTAAGTTACGACCGAGTCCAGCATTATGGAAAGGTAGCTACGGTTGCTCTCAGCTTCCACTCTAAAACTAAGCTAACTTTTGGATTTGAAAATAACTGGTCCTCGTATACCAAAATTTGTCACCTCTTAGAGCTTGGCCTTTTACCGTTTGAAAAGCAAATCCTGATTGTTTCCCTTCTAAAATTCAGTTCTTTATTATTCTTTCATGTTCCCTGAAGTAGTATCATGAATCTCAAAGTGGCCATGTTTAAAGAAATAAATTTATAATGAAACCCTTTTTTTGAACCTGCGTGAACTTTATTCCTTTGCTGTCGGTGCAAGTTCTTGCTGTTGTCTGACATCAGCAGCGAAGAATCAGACGTGATCACGAACTTCGGTTACAACTTGCAGTAATGGCAAAGCTGTGTTTTAACAGGTTGTCTTTGGAAGGGTGGTACACTTGCCAGTGGTGGTTGGTTGGAGCTGTCAGAACAAAGAGGTAACAGCTGTGTACGAGTAACTACTACAGAGAGGCTGCAGCAAAGCTTCCTTACAGCCTGTGCAGATTTGTAGAGTTAAGTGTGGAAAAGTACTGATTCTTCTTCGACGTTTTTGAATAAAACACATGCCAAGCCTGCAGCGATTTTCAAAACAACTACTAAAATCAGTATCCGATGATGTCTTCTGTGACTCACTACTTTTTTTAAAAATGTGACTTGGTTTAAAGACTGGGCCTCCGCAGTGATATAAATGTTGCTGCTTGTTACAGGCTATTTCTAAGCATATTTAAATTAAAATTAATGGATTTTCAAATATGTATATAGCAATATTTCAATATAATACTTATAAACAACCTGTGATTCTTTAACATCGTGCAATCTTGCTGTCATCTGCTCTGATAAAAACCATAGCTTGTCAAGCAAGGTTCTAGAGTAAAACATGAGTAGTTTTCTTCTAAGCCACCTTTCCTGGAACACGGTTTCTCTTTTCGTACCAGGCTGGGTTTAGAAAGATTGGTTCTAATCCCATCCATTAATGTTATGTGGAAGCTTCTGACATTTGACTGAATTTAAAAAACAAAAAATCCCAAAAGGAATGCCTTTTCTTAAACACGCTGTTTAGAAATGCCTTCTAGAACTCCACATTGAACTTCAACATTCCTATAGCTTCACATCAGAGCTGAGCACGCGTAAGCTAGAAGCATAGCTAACGTGTTACAGCTGCTGGCAGCCAGTCAGCCGGCCGGGGTCCAGCCAGTGTTACCACCATAACCTGTTGTAACCTACGCATCTGCTCCTGGGGGGCCGCGCTGGTCACTGACCAACACGGACAGACACTGACAGGCCTCGGGGACGTCAGTGGTCTCTGCCCGCTGTGCAGGGATGTCCTTAGCTCGAGTACTTCTGCTTGAGGTGTTTCTCTGGGCACAGGGCACGATGCGTGTAAGATTGCAAGTAGAGGCAAATTAAGGTACAGAAAAGTATAAAATTATTTGATGGCAGCTTTGTGACTTCATTTTCTTGTGCAGGTGATGTTACTTTTACCATAATTTTATATCACTAATAAGGCTTGCCATGTGTTTTTGTACTTCTGGGGTGCTGGATACCTGCATCTCACATCAGCAGTTCAAAGTGGCAGTGTTTGGTGTGGGGTTTTCTCCTGTTTTAGCATACTTTAACAGGTCAGGAGATATCCTAAATTGTACAAGTTAATGATTTAATTGGACTGAGTTACTTCATTTGAGCCCCAACGTTACAATCATGTAAGCTGAAATGCTTTCAGCAGAGGTTTTCTGTGCCAGCTCTTGGGAAGCCGTGGCCCTTTGGAGGGGTGGTTGTGCCACACCAGGGGACTGTCAGGGGAACCCAGTGTCTCAGGGGATGCAGAGGCGTTAAACCAGTACCTTCCTGTTACGGTTGTGGTGGGCCATAAACTTCTTGCTGGTTCCTGATCCTTCTTTTTTTTTTTATCTGACTATAACTGAATTAACAGGGCTGTGCTATTCTACTGTTATTGCTGCTGCATAGCCAGGAAAGTAGGCCAGTCCTGAAGTCCATGCGAGTTGATTTATAGCTGCTATAATAGAATGTAAACTAGACTTTATTGTGGCTGCTATCGTTTGTAGAGTACCATAAATCACGTTGTGCAATGTTTATTTTTAACTGCTTTTAATTTTATATAGTGGCAATACAGTATTAAATACAAAACTTGAAACCAAAATTAACTTTCAAAAAGGTGTTTTAAAGGCATTTAAAAGAACACAAAGATTTACCGGCCTGCCAGTAAGACTGACGGCAGAGTGTTTTGGAAGGAAGTTACACTGTGTACATATTAACACCATTTTAGGATTCCCACCAAAAAACATCCTCCTGGCTTGTACAATCTACATTCCAGTTATAGGCAGCAAAGCTTCAGTCATCTTCAGTAACCTCGTCAGAGCCGTTCACCTTTCTTTTTATTTAAGAAGAGCTGCTTTTTTTTCTTTTCCTAGAAAACAGAAGCTCCAAGAGGCACTTGTACTTGTTCCAGTAGCCAGATCAGCTCAGACCACTGAAATACCCAGACTCAGCTTTTTCTACGCTCATCTATGGCCAGAGCAAACCTTGGCTTCATTTAAGTGTACAGCTAAGTTGTAGCTCTCCGGTTCCTAAACCGCCTTTTTTCAACCTGGATTTTATTTTTAGCTTGAGGCCCTCCTGTATCCGTGGCTGGAGAGACAAGCGCGGGTGGTTGGTTGCAGAAGTAGCTCCGTAAAGGTCTGGCAGGAATGGCTGCTCTGGGAAGTCCCCGAAAGGGCTTTTTCCTGGGAACCAGGTTCTGTGCAACAGCTTGTACCATCTTCTCCCTGCAAGGAGGGCGGGAGGGCTTGCGCAGGCCCCTGCTGCCAGAAGCCTAGCTGGGGACCAAGCTGGGGACACAGAGGTGTCCCTGAGCACCTCTCAGCACAGCTCAGATGAGCAATGTACTTTTTGGCAACTTGCACTCCACAGTACTTTGTACCTTTTTTCCTTATCTACACCACTCCTACGCTAGTTAGCACGTACTCTGACATTATTTTACTCTGCTGCTATCTACTGGTTATTTCAAATTCATTGGACTGCCTGTTCACAGAGGCTCCCACAGCATGATTTACTCGTCGTGTGTTCTTTACCTTGGCCATGGGATGATACAAGTAGATTTTGTCCTCTTACCCTTGCAAACTCATTTGAAACAAACAAAAACACTGCACAAAAATGTGCTACTACTAAAAATGTCTCATACCAGGTGACCTCTGCAGCTGATTTAAGTTTCTGCTTTCTTTCAGAAGGAAGCAGAATGCATTCAGGTTTTCTTTGGGCTAAAAATTTGCTAAAATTAAGTTTAAAAGAAAGACTTTGATGTGAAAAATTTGTTATCAAACTAAACATTGTAGTGCAAGTTATAGTTAGAGCTCAAATAACTGATATTAACTTAAAGATGTATCACTATCAGTATTAACCTGTACACAAATTTCTAAGGCAGTCAGTTACGCACGAAGAATGTTGTATATATAACTTAGTGTTAATAAACTAAAACCACCACATAAGTCTGAGTAGAAAGCCAGGTTTGAATACAAAATTAATACCTGAGTATAATGGTCAAATTTATTCCCCTTGATCAATCACATACAAACATGTTTAGTGCCTCAATTCTACATTTCACATTAGGTTTTTCCTGTAAGAGACCACTCAGTACTAGTGCTATTTGCAACATAAAAGATTTCAGACAAAACAGCTTAACAGTCTTTCGTGTAGTAATCTTTATAAGTTAAGATTTTTCAATTAAAGTCTTCATTTTTCCTGTAGACTTCAGCATGTGCGGTCCAAACTGGAAAAAACAGAAACATGTTCAGACTGCATTCAACAGAAACCTAGTTGAGTATTACCCAAGTTTAAAAAAAAAAAAAAAAAAAAAGTAAGTAAAACCAGAACTTGGGCAGAGATAATTTCCTTTATCAGCCTGCGGATTTCACCCACTTTGTAGCCACAAAGAAACTTGTGTCAGCCGTCAGCTGAAATTGCTCGGGTGAGGCAGCTACCCATCTGCTGGAGCAGCTCTGACCACTCTACCACAGCAAAATAAGAAGATAGACGCAGTCACCTTTAGAAGTGGACAACCGCTTGCTCTAGCGGCAGTTTAATGGTATTTCTGTTCTTACTCTAGCCTGTGTTTTTGTGCAAGTCCTTTTAAAAACTGTATCATACAAGGATTGATCTCACAAAGAAGTTATATATTGATAAGTAATTGATAACAGATGTTTATTAGCTTATTATGGATCAGCATTCTATCATTTAGCAAATTAAAACCTTCAATTTTCTTAGCTTTTGGGGACTTGATGAAATATAAATTTCAAAATCGGAAAATCATGAAAAACCCATGTGTGAATAAAACAGTGTCAATTTGTGTTCTTGTCCTTAAAGCCCCAGAGATGCTGGGGAAAAACAGATTAATTCTTGGGGAATATCCAGCCTTTTAGTTAGGAAGAACAGCATGAACATTACAGGAATGTACCTTAAAGGCCTGAACCAGAAAGCAAGTCAGTCAAAATTAATAAGCTGAAGAAGCCAGAAGTCCTGAGACTTGTGGCTTGGGAATCTTACTTTCCTGAAAACTTAATTCAGAGTACAGCCAGCTTCTGGAGTTTTACGTGCATTTTTCCAAATGCACCAAGGGAAAAGTAACTCTCTACTCTTCCTCTCCTTGAAACCTGTAGCACAAGGTTTCAAGGATTGCTTACTAACAAAGCTGATCTATGCTAGACTGTTTTTTAAATAAGTGTATATTGCTAGAAACTTGCATCTTGAACATTTGCCACTAAAACCCCCTTACTTCAATTTCAAATCAATCTATCTGAAATAAACTAGAAGCCATTAACTTGTACCGTGATGTGTTTTTTAAAGATCATTTTAATATAATTTTAAATTTTAGTTTAACATTCTCACACTATAAAGAAACTGCTTTTATTTACTCAGCATTTCTGATTATTAGAAGAAAATCCCTATACCAAGATCAAGCAGGCATTCTGAACAATTTCTTTTCTACATTCCTAGGAATGGCTGCCATGTTTCAGGATCTTGCTTCAAAATTTCACATGCGATATTGTAATGGTTAAGGTTGGCAATAAAGGCAAACTCACTTCAGATTTGATTCTGGTAGGAGCCCTTAGGAGTCAAGTTTTCAGTATATCGCGTGCCCGTGGCAACAGAAAAGGTTTTTGTTTTTTAAATAAAAAAAGAAAACTGTAACAGGGCTTTTTAAACGTAGGGCCAAAAGAGTACACCATCTTAAGACTTGATGCTAACAACACGATTGCCACAAATCCTGGCACGTGAGCAGTACTTCATAGGGTTCTGCGGACAGGGATGCTAACTCCTGGGTATTTGTATATGTTGGCAGAAAGACAGGCATTGGCTTGCACGACAACTATAGTTTAGTGCAAGTGTGTGCTCAGAATCACAATACTCACCAGCACTACCTCAGTCTTTGTCTTTGTTTCAGTCTTTGGAATCACCTTTTCTGTTTCACTTTGGCTATCGCTTCGGTATCGATAAGCAAATTTCTTTTTGAGTGCTTCTGCTATTAATGCTGCGGGATCTGCAGGATCAGCTACTTTAGATTTTGTACCCTCTGATGATCTAGAAAAGGGAGAGAGAACCATTAACATAATCCAACCCAAAGCTTTAGAAGTTGTGAATGCTTTTGCATTGTTTGTCAGATTACATCAGCATCTGTCTCGCCTTGAAATACTTCTGAGTCATAAAAACAAATCATTAATGCAAATGTTAATACATTGATATTTATTTCTATTTATTACCTTTTCACTGAGCGTAGTTTCACGCTGTTCATGTCTTTGAGGATTTCTAGCATGTTTGGTATTTCAGACCTCTTTGGCCCATTTTCTGTCGGCTTCTGTCCAGAGTTCGTTTTTTTGTTTTTCCTTTCTTTAATGAGCTCAATTGCAGACATGCTCTGCTGTAGGCTTGGGGGAGGGAGTGGCGGTGGCGGAGGAGGTGGCGGTGGTGGAGGTGCAACAGGGACAGCAGCTGAAGCAACTGGACTCGACCCAACTACAAATAAAACGTGTTACATGGCAGTTTACTTGTAAATCCCCTTCACTTCCCACAAATGCTCAGGTAAGAATACAACTATAATAGCTTCAATTGCTTCCCCTGCACCTTCTTTAGATTATCATGTAACTTCTTCATTGTAAACCACTTAAGAGTGAGAAGCATTCTTTGAACTTCCAGTTCAAATTCTAGGTGCATTCATGTCTTTACTGCAACGGGATGGACGTCACAATGTCTTTTAGTTATGTTCTGCTCCTAATATTACCAGTCACATACAATCTGCCACATGAGCAGTGCTCCTTCCTACTTGGCATCACCAATAAGAAATCACCATGCAAGATCTTTAAATGTAAATTTCAGAGCTGAAATACTGCTTAAATTGAAGCTTATTCCAGCTCTCTGAGGATAAGGATTTTTAGGCCAGCTAATCATCTGTCTGAAGATAGAGATTTTCACCATAATCTTGATTTCAAATTCCCTGCACTCTAGGTAAAAATTGATGTTATAAATATAATAGCAGTAATGACTTGACAAACAAATGAAGAAACCTCTGCTCAAATGCACCTGTAAAGGAATCAGCAAAACCAGATCAAACCAGAGTTTTGAGCCTTGGAGTATAGTGTGTAAAGATACGTACATAGATAATACAAGAGGAATCTACTCTGTGTACGTGTAGACATACACACAGTGTCATTACCATATTCTACCAGAAGAGGGAGGTAAAGATGATAAAATCAAATCAAAATTTAATTTCCCTAATAAACAGAGGGAAAAGAGAAAATGATGAAAAAGAAGTTATTAGTTATTTCACAAAACCTTCACAATAATTACAATTTGAGTGAAACCATGTGATCCTTAAAACTATTTTATAGTTTTGAATATGAATAGTTAAGCAAAAATAAAGTAACTGCTATCAGTTCACAGACAAAAACTAAACATGAGCATCTGAAGAATCAGAATATGATTTTATACATAAACGTAGGCAAAACGGTACTTGCTAAGTGACCTCAGGGAAGAGTGAAAACCGAATGGCTGTCAGCTGCAGTCAACAAGGGCCATCTCCCACTAATGGGCGATGGTCGCCTCAACTGGAAGGCAGGCAGGTGTGAGGTAAAGAGGAGAAAGGAACTCAGGCAAAGGTGGTTTACTACCAGAAAAAGTACACTGCTTGTGGTTCCAGCTGGATGATTGCAGGAAACAATTAATCTCCTTTTCTGTTACTTGATAAACTTGAGATGTGTATTAAATACTCCAAAAGCATTGTATGATTACGACATCAGGGAGCCTATTTCATTACTGGATGGGAAGACTTAAGTGTTAGTAATTGAAATACATTCTTCTAGTTTGGTTCAAGCCATCGTGTTTATCATGAGCTTTGCTCTGAAAGCTGTTTAATACTCTGTTACTTCATAAACTTGAGATGTGTATTAAATATTCCAAAAGCATAATTAGCATTGTATGATTACGACATCAGGGAGCCTATTTCATTACTGGATGGGAAGACTTAAGTGTTAGTAATTGAAATACATTCTTCTAGTTTGGTTCAAGCCATCGTGTTTATCATGAGCTTTGCTCTGAAAGCTGTTTAATACTTCTTTATTCATCCACAGATTCTGAATTCTGGCAGACTGTCACACAAACACGAAGACTTTTGGAATACCAGAAAATACAGAAAATCTGGCAGGTCTCTTGTCTTCAAGACCTATTCTGTAACCCTGGGTTAGTACACTAGGTCTGTCTACCAAACTAACCAAAACAATATGGAGAAGTGTTTAGTGGTGCAGTATCTCACAAAAACAAATTAGCACGTTATTAATTATAAAAGGGACAAATTCATTAACTAATTTTTGCTAAGAGTACAGCAAATTTAATACCTGGTATCAGGTTCTGTTGTTCTTGCAAGATTACAATTTTGGCTATTTGTGCTCTTAAAGTAGCTAGTTCATTTTCCAGAGCACTGATCTTCTGCAGAGCTTCATCATTTGCAGTCACTGTGCTCCTCGACACCGGTTCTTCTTCCAACGAGTTTTGTAAGGACATCTGTCTGCATGGGGACTTTCTGGAATGACGTAGTTCATCTGAAAGAGGCTGGGCTGGTTTTGACCAAACTTCTGACCTGTAACAAAAATACCACAAGATTCCTTTTTTAAAGGCTTTGTAATCAATAAAAACAACAGCAATGTTACGTACGAATCAGGAATACAAGTTGAGGGCCTGACTTCAAAATTGCCTTTACACAAAGCACTTCCACCAAGACATTATATAGCTTAAAGTAAATAAGAGTTTCACATCCTTTCTGTTTGCATCACTAGCTGTATTTCTTCTCTTCCCCTAGCCAGCTTTTTGTGGAATCCTTGTTTTCAGGAGAAAAAAGGAATACATTCCTCCTCGCCCCCAGTCTACATCTCTGGCTCATGCCTATTGTATTTTTTGTTGGAATTAAGACTTAATTTTTTTTTGCCCAAATGCTACCATTTTTCCCCCATGGGCTGCAAATAGTTGCTTCTAGTTGATTCCTTTGAAGAAGGAAGAGTTTCTTAGTTCCATGGCACATTTTTGTACATTTTGAACTTCTGAAGGGACAGTCCTCCATTTTAGCAGTGTTGGGAGTATGGAGTACATTAAACAGCTTAGTGAGGCAGAGGCTGCTTATCAGTAAATGGAAAATGGTCCTCCATCTAGTTTTCTAACACAATAAATAAAACTATAGAGAAGAAAACTTTATAAAATTTTAAAGAGTCAGTAAGCTTCCTTCCTCTTTCTCACAAGAGCAAGAAAATGCAACTCTGTTGCGTTCCTTTATTACCCCCCAAAGCTCTAGCTATGTTACACACAGAGTCATTACTGAGTATCTGCAGCCAAATAAGCACTTTTGTAAAGTGCTTCAGTTATATTCACTGAAGACACCAACATTTTTAAACAGTTTATCTCAAGTATCTGAGCAAATTGAACTAGTTGAAGATGTCCCTGCTCATTGCAGGAGGGTTGGCCTAGATGACCTTTAAAGGTGCCTTCCAATCCAAACTACTCCATGATTCTTCAAATAGAATTGGTAAGGATTACTGATAACAGATTATCATAAACATTATAACTGCAAAATATGACCACGTACTTGACTCCTCAATCCTCCTGAACTTCAATCCCAAAACTTCTCAGGCAAGTCAGGATTCCACTGTTTATTCAAACAGGAGAGTAAGAACAGTGGCTAGTGACATTTCAAAATGTGTAGAATGGCTCCAGACTAATACAGCTTTAAGAGTCCTGTTGCTCTGGATGCATGCGTTAAGCTACTCTGCATGCACATCATGTTAGATCTGCAATTGTGCTAGGCTTAAAGCAAGAGCCAAGATTTAAGGCTAGAACAAGCCCTGTGCTCTGACCACCTCAATCCAGGATTAGAAACACATTTGAGTCTTCCATGACACTGACAGAAAACATCAGCACAACTTGCAGAAATTTGTTCAAGCAGAATTGAATATTAATCATGGATGTTAAAATTTAGATGGTGCCTAGATGATAGGAATAGAGAGCAACTGAAGCCAAGAAGAGAACAGGATGGTTCTTAAAGCAGCCATCTCCCTGCTTTCGCTAGGTAAGTAAGGTGGAAGGAGCCAGCGGTCACTCCGCTCTTTAAAACCTGCCTTCTAGAATTTAAAGGTGCAGAACAGCTAAACAACAAAGGGTATTTTCCGCTCAGAGCAGTAACGGAGTTTTAAGGTAACGTCTTGATTGGAATCTAACACTGTGGAAAAATATTATGCTTGAATGGTCACTACTGCTCTGACTAAGGGTAGGGGAAAAATGATTTGTTGTTTAGTTGCCTCCTTTGTAAAACTGCACTCACAGAAAAAAAACCAAACTATGTCTGCAAGACTGTTTACTGAATTATACAGTGAATGTATATTTAACAGTAACACCTATGTGATCTTGTTGAAACAGAGAATTTCAAAAGCCTGGAAAACACCTAATGCATACTAGCTCCACTACATAATACTTGCGCAGATGTAATAAACGGTGCACACTGAAATACTCGTATTTGCTAAGTAATTCACTTACTATGCTCCATTATAAGCCGTTTGCCTTAAGGTCACTATATATCTGCAGGATTATTTTAGTCCCATCCCACATCCATCTGTCCCCCTTCCCCCCTTCACAAGCAGATGTCTCAGCAAATATGCAAGTCCTACATCTTTTGTAATAGGTTCTTTGAAGCACCAAAGAGCTATTTTCCCAGTTGTCTCCATTAAACATAATAGCTTTACAATTCAATCCCTAAACAAAATGTTTCTGTGCAAACAAAAGTAGCATTGGCCAGTTAATTTCCTTCGCATCAAATAGACTTTACAAATAGTGTTTCCCAAACAAGCGTTGATTTCTGTGACTCCCCTCTGAGTTTGTGAAATTAATGTGGCAGTGCCAGAATGTTTGTTATGCAAAGCTTCACTGTGGCAAGTCATGTTGGAGGGCATCTAGGTCATTACTAACCTATTTCATGCTTTTAAATTAAGAACAGTATCCTCCAGTAATCTCTGAAGCCAACAATCTGTGCCTTTCTCTGGAAGGTTAGTTTGTTTAGAAGAAAAAACTTCCTCTGCACTACAGAACTGGCCCTTTGTTTCTGGCTAGTCTGAGCAGCAATTTGGGTACGCTGGAATAGAGAACTTCGTCACTTCAGCCAACCTGTTTCAGGCAGTCATGGTGCTATGTAGTACTCTTGGTCCAACACAACAGTACCTATCCCATCATTCTGGACACAGGTGCTCACATGCTTCCCTGCCAGTTTTCGTTATGAAGATTAAAGATGAAATATAAACCATAATTTTTTAATTGTCTTTAGCAGACTGCAGAGCCTTAACCAGAAAGGTGAAAAACAACGTGCCAATTATTGGATTGTCAGAATAACCATTGCTGCCAATTAGGAAACTGTACAGTACACTGCCCTGTATTAATGAAAATCACAGGAGAATTGGAGAATCAGTGTTAGTAATTGTGCCATACCACAGCAGACATTTTTGTGGGGACAAGGTTGCTTGAAGCTGTCACACGCAATTCTTTGCAATAAATAAGTAACAAAAAAAAAAAGTCTTCCTTGTATAAAGCCAGTCTCCTATACGTTCTCAAACCAGTCTTTCATTCATAATCCTGTTAGTCTAACCTCTACTACTTCTCTTCCAGACCCTACCTTTTCTAACACTCCTCTATTCTCCCAGAATTCACGTGCTCTCCACTCATTGCAATGCACAGTAGATTCTCACTGGAGAGAAGCTCGGTTTCTTCCTCTCAGTTCAGAAGTTCAAAGAGAAGATTTGAGGAGCATACCTGAGCCTTGTAGAGACTTCACCTTCTTCTTGAGCAACCCATCCCACATCTGCAAAGGAGGCCACTGCATCATCTCTAAGCTGATTAGGATGGTTTCCCTCTGTGGCATGAGATGTAAGCTAAATTTCAAAGACAAGATTGAAGGTTTAGTCACTATTCCCAGCCCAAGTCACAGTTACTTCACCCAATACTTTTAGTGAGGCTACATGTAACTACTAACACATTCATGCATGAAACACATCTGCAGATTTAGCACACTTATTTCTGTCCTGGGCTTAGTCCAGAACCACTTCACTGACTTCAAACTATTCGATCTAGTCTGCTGAACGCTTTACAGAGGTTCATGGCTAACTACATATACTATCACACAACAGCACTGAACACTAAAAATCCAATGCAAATTGTTACCTTAAAGACAAACAAACATCAACATTCTCAAGTAGTTTGCTATATTAACTCAAATAATGTTTTTAAATTATAGCCATGACCAATAGATAAAAAAGATGTTAATGCTACTAGTACTTCTTCAGTCTTTTGCTCTGATTTAGTATTGTTTTGAAAGTGAAATTCTGTTGAAGTGTGTTTCCCTTCCCCTACAACTTCTAGAATTTCTGTACAAGAATAAAGGTGTGCATATTATACAAGGGAAAAAAAAGTAAAAAAGAAAGCAGAAAGCCATTTCTACTAGCTCAATAATCACAAAGACTTTGAGTGAGAGGTAGGATGCAATCATAACAGAATACAGTATTTGCTAACAATCTTATTTAGAGCATGCCAAACAAATTGACCATTTCCCATCATGGTTCTGCCATTAGCTTTGTAGCTGTTTGAAGCCAAAGGCGAGCAAAGCTCCAGAGACTGGAACCTTTCTTAGATTTATGGGTAAGTAACCTGAACAGATATTTGAAAAATTGTTTGGACCATCAATACATGCTCCATAGCCACAACTACACAAAAAGGTTTCAAATCTACTTTGAAATACTGGCTTCTGCCCCACGTTAGACAAGGGCATATGTACTCAGTCACTGGACTACTGAGCAGCCTGGTCTCAGTATCTTAGCAGATAAAAGCTACTGAAACATCTTTCAGTAATTTCTTCTGCTCAGTCTGTCATGTTGAGTTAATCTCCCACGCAACTATGCCACCTCTTTTGCTTGTATTACATATAATCCACAGGCCAAATTTCCACAAGTCCTTGTAGCTGTTTAAGCACTGCCTGCTGCTGGTAGTGGCCAAGCAGCGAGTAATACTGACAAAGATGGTGGTAGTATGTAACAGTCTGTGAAGACAGCTTGGATCCAGCCTGTTAGCACTTAGGTCAATTTTCGAGGCAACTCACCTCTGTAAGAGGAAAGGATTATGTAGCAGCAACTATGAAATGTTAGCATTAACCTGAATTTGTAGCAGACTGATCACAGCAGAACTGCAGTCTGGATGAGATGAAACCATTTCTGAAGAACATCCACAGATATTTTAGTTGTAGCCTTTGATACGCCAGTCACAGGAAGATAGAAGTTGTGGGTTTGGGGTTGTTTTTTCCCCAGGTGTTGTTACAAACAGCTTTGGAAATTGAGATTAGTCATCTTCACCTCACACTCTTGCAACTTGTATGTGAGCCTTTATCACAGCTCCCAGGGGTGTGTATTGGCACCGTCGGATCATTTGGAAACAACAGGGTTTTTTCCAGGTAGCATCAGCACAGATGGTAATATGTTTATCACATTAACAGTTGTGCCTAATACCATCACAGTCTGCCTCTCTTTAAAACAGTCTAGAGAATACTATATTGCATGTTAGGATTTTCATTGTTTGAGGTTTCCTTGGCTTTTTTCTTTTTTAAAATCAAAATAAATTTTCATGACCACAGCATCTGTATTAATGTTAATGGCAACTTAAAAAATCCATAATGCATTAGCCACTTCTTGCAGGTGATACAGATTTTCCTGATGGTAACGGCCACATGAGGAACTATTACCATTAGAAGGCTGAAGCCACATTTAAATAAAGGCACTACGCATACTTGCATCAAAAATAATTTTATAAATCAGCAGTAAGGAATGCATTTACCACTGCCAGGTTTCCTGCACTGTGAGATAAATAACTTCTAATCCAACATTTAGTAGCAAGCCTTCTGTTATACTGTGATGCAAGTTTCTTCTTACTTTTTTATTCATATTTATATGTAAACAGAATCTGCTTGTTACCCCATATACAGATGTTTCTTTTCTCTATCCCTAAAAACAACCAGGCCTTCCACAGCAGCAGATTTTGGATTTCAAGGTAATGCAAGATTTTTACTTTAATTTAAAGGTTAAAAGCCAACACCCATCTCTTAAAACCTTTGCCTGTCTGTAGAATGATGCTTAAACAACTCTGTGGCTACCATATTCCTCCAGCCAATCTCAGCTGAAGAAAACTTGGACAACTGCTCTGCCAGCACTTGAAACGGAGAACAAAGAGCTGAAAATGGAGGCCCGATTCTACTGGACAGCAGGAACTGAATGAAAAAGTAAAGTAGCCTGCTTTTCTTTCTCTGGAAACTATGTGGTTGCTATCTCCACTTCTTCCTTCACAGGCTTTTTTGCCTATTTTAGTGTGCACGTATGCTGCACACACACATACGCATGCATGCCTGCAGGTTTCAGACCCATTACTCCGTGAATTTCTGAAGTAAAGCCTACACATACTGTGCTGCTTTGGCTAATATCATAGAATATCTTGAGTTGGAAGGGACTCAAAGAATCAGCGAGTCCAACTCCCAAAGAGTCAGCCTCACCAGTGTTTCCGCCTGGTTTTAAACCAGGGACCTTTCGTGCGTTGAGCGAATGTGATAACCACTACACTATGGAAATGCTGCTTAGGAGGCTGTCAAAGCAGGATCCCTACTTTTTGTTTGCTCCAGGAAGTGGGAAGCAGAACAAAGATTTTTATACATTTAAGGATAGACTAAAAACACTAATTTCAAATTACTAATACAATTAGGTATTAAATATTTGGAAACACTTCCTCAACTAAGACAAACTTGCTATGATTTTTCAAATTAGCCCAGTAAATTCTGATGTTTGCTATGTGCAGGCCAATTCCCTCGGAGACTTCTATTGATTTATCAGGTTTGCATCAGGCAAACAGGAGAAGCATGGGACTAGAACAGAGCTGCTGTAGCTGAAGGATTCTATCTTGAGAGACAGTATTGTAGGTTTGGTTGAATCTACCTAGGGTACATTGGTAAGTTTAACTTTATTTTCTCCTAAAGATTACAGATAAACCTAAAAAATATGACATACAAAAGGACTATATGAACCATTTTCATTTGTTCATGCCATATAGAGTATATAAGGTAAGCTCTGCCACTGCTTACTGAATACATAAGCGCATTTAGCAATTAATTTAAATGTTGACTATGGAAAGATCCATAGAGACAGATACTACAACAGTCAGTAGACCTCAAAAATCAAAGTGTTAGGCTACTACCCATTTTATCAGACAAACTGAACAAAAGCATGCAAGAAGAGAAAAAAGAATGAACATAACAGAGATTCTCTCAGTATCTCTTATCCATTTATCATAATGAAAATAAAGACCTGTGGAAAGTTTGTTGCTCTTGGATAAAGTTAGAAACACTGATGATATACATGCACCCTCAGATGAGGCAAGTAAGTTTTGCTTTGGTTTTTAAATAAAGTGACTTACAGCAAGGTTCAGTGCATGGTCCTTTCATAATATAGCTAAAGCTGGCAAGAAAGAAAGAGGAAGAGACAGCTATAGGAAAGCGTCAATTGCAACAGCATAAAAATGATCGATACCAGTATTGAACTTCACTACAGAATCTTAACACTGAGATAAAGACATAAAAAACAGATGTTAGCATCACACTTTTACATGTTCAGCAGTTTATTTATTAAAATAATCAAAAGCCTGCATAAACAATATAAATTTCAATGTGTTTCAAGGCTCAAATTTTGAAATTCATATTTCTAATTCAATCGGCTCTGACAATTGTACTTCTATTTTTAGGATCCTTTCCTTCCATCTAACAGAAGATGAATGTTTATATTTAGTGTGCATAAAATCTAAGTAAAGCTGACGGAATATCTCTTTAAAAGGAAACACAGAATTCAGACAAAGACATATACTTATTTTTATTTCAACAGAAAAAATATTCAGGAACAGATTCCCCAGATGTATCTTACAGCTCTTTGCAGGAACATAAACCAGAAATGCCTTATTTTATGTGCCATAATAAGAGAAGCCAGTATTTGGCTAACTATCTGCAAATGAGCATCACCTTCCCTTGTATGGCCTTTATAGTACAGAAAATCAGACACATTATAGCAGGACTTCACTTCCTTTCAAATCTGAGGCACATGGAGCCTTATTGCTGGCATAACCACTATACTACACTACTAATTACTATATATCCAAAAGTTTAAATCCAGCATTGTCATTTTGTCGTCCTTCTCACCTGCACAAATCCCCACCCCCACCACATATGTATGTATTTTCTAAGTTTCACCAAGCCACTAGTAGAGGAAGATGGTTGCCCCCCTAGTTTCTCACTGTAATTATTTAAGAGAGGCAAAATGTTAGCATGGCTTTTGCTACCACACCGAAAAGGATTCTGTGGTAGTCCTAACTATCTGATTTTGCTACTATAATTTCAAATCTAAATTGTTCATACATTTCATATAGGATAAAGAAATTAATTTAAACAGAGAAAAATTCAGCTGTGTGGAATTTACCTTGTCTTACTGTGGGTGATGATTCCCACTATTCATCTTTATGTTCCCTGCCCTTGCTTGGCCCAAGAAACATTCCTCTCTCAGCTTGAGTTTCAAACACTAAATTTCTCCAATTCTACACCCGCCCCCTATCCTAACACACACAGAGTTGAAGCGATTATGTGTAACAGCTTCCATTTTCCCATCTGTTCCTGAAAGACTTGTTATAAAAAGCAAGGGTTTTCTCCTCCTTAAGCTTTTACCCTCACTCTTTACCCTCCCACTATATGCAGTTGAAGTTAAAAGCAAACAAGTCAGAAAACTGCACAGAATTGATGTTCCCCCTTCACCTATACAGTGCTAGCCTGGTATTTCATACAAAAGGAAACAGGGTACTCATGTTATCTTGTTATTAATTTTTTAGTTTCTGATAAAGTTGTTTATCTTCCCAAATATTTTTAAGTAACAGTGTTCATCTTTACATGCCTCTTAAGCCTAGCTTATAAGTACTGCCTATAGAAATGTTTCAAACATTTTTCTCTTTGATATTTCTTCCAGAAATAACTTTTTAATACTGTATTGCCTCATTTTAGAGGTTCCAATTTCCTTAAGAAAAAAAATTGTTTCAAATTTCATTATGTGTGTTACAAGCAAGATAGAGTCAGGGTTTAGGCAGTACAGAAGCTGAAGAACCCATATCGGGAAAAAATCTGAACTGGAAGTGGGAAGAACTGAAGTAAACTAATTCTCCTATGTGCTCGGGTTATCATATTCTGCTCTTACAAACCCTCTAGTCATTTATTTAAATGAACTGCATATTTGCTTAAAATCTTTCAATTCAAGAGCAAATCCCTTTACCAGTATAGTGAAACACATATTTTAAACTGGTGAGAACGCCTACCTGAAACTGAACTCTTGGACACTGTATAAGAGAGAGGTTAGTGCCAATTTTTCTTACAATACTTCGAGATGAACCGTAAGGCTTGCTTGACCAAAGCACCTAGATGGGAAGGAAAAAGAAGCCAGCTGTTAGGTAATTGATTTTTAAATCACATTGAAATAGTTTTCCCTTATCCTTCCATACCATGCTTGTGCTAAACATATTTAAGGTTATGCCTTTCATGCTAGAAAAGAATATAATTTATAAATATATATACACACTGAAATCTGTATCACTCCTTACATTTTATACTTAAATTGGCACAAAATTTGGCTATGGCTGTTTAAGTTCAAGACAGCCTTTGCATTAAGTTTAAATTAAAAGCAATACATCAGGTAACACAGAAGCATTCAAGAGCTAGAAGCATCTTCAAAAGCATAATTTGTCCATTTTCAAGACAATAAAGAATCTGCATTGGGTCAGACACTTCTTTTTAAGGTGTTTCAAGAAAAGCCACTCAATCATTAAAAACCCAAAGTTATGTAATTCTACATTTCCCAAAATATCTTTTTTCTTTTTTTTTTTCCTCTTCTAACACAGGTACAGTGTCTACCAGTCTTAATAAAAGTAACTATCAGCTAGTATAAGCATGAAAATGTAACTGTGAAATTAAAGAGCAAGGAAAAGAGGGAAAATAAAGATACAAGAACAAAACTTTGTCCTAAAAATAAATAAAATACATTCGCCTAGAGAAAATTGCACACAGCACTTCAACACACCTGGCTTCATCAAAACTGTTTCTACTGCAGTTCAAATTTCTTCTACATTGTTTCAACAGAGATTGAATTTGCTTCCTTTTGTTGTACTTAACCATGGGAATGTTTGCTCTACTATGTACCACAGTTGTATGAAATAAAATGAGACTTTAATCCTTGGAGAATACTACAAAATGAGCCAGAAGAAAAAAAAAAAAAAAAACAAAAAACAAACAAACAAAAAAACCCCAAAAACCACCCCACCCCAAAAAACAGCCAAACAAACAAAAAAACCCCAAACAACAAAACAAAAAACCCAAAGAAACATCCCAGAGAGAAGCAGGAAAGATTTCAGTACAGAGAAAGTCAACAATAACAATGCAAAGAAGAAAAAGAATAGTGGGAAGACTCTAACACAGAGTACATTGTTAGTAAACAATTAGAACAATGTATGATAATTTAAAAAACTTAGCCAGTGTTTACTTATGACTGTAGATATGAATTTACTACTCAGATCTAAGTTTTTAAAGGCTCATAGCTTCAAGCAAAGTCAACATCCTGTTAGTAGGTTGCCCAACAAAGAAAACAGATAAAATCCAGGCTATTAATACTGAAACAACCCTTGTCTGTCATGGCAATATTGCCTGTGTGATTAGTGTAGTGCAGCTGTGGGAGTTCCACAACACAGCTGAATAACCTTTTGATATACTAAGCAAAGATCACTACTCTTAGATTTTGAAGGTTCTATTAAAAAGACAAATTTAGGCTCCATGTTATTTATCCCTAGATTATATTATCTCAGAAACTTCACACATTTTGCCTCTTTCTAAACAAATATCTTTCCTTCCTCTGGCTTTATTTGAATGTATAAATTTGAATGTATGAATTTTGACAAAAATAAATTATCATTGCACACATGCTATGCTAGATCCTCATATCAGAGCTGCAACTTTGCTATTAATCCACTCAGATGCATTTTTTTCCATTCTATGAAACATATATTCTCTTACTTAATATGCTGCTGAGTTTGAATACAATTTTTTTCAGTGCAGAGTACTCTGATCCTATATTTTGGATGCATCCAACAAAGACCTCACATTAATGACTATCACGTTACTGTTTGTCTGTGTGCCTGAGCAAACAGCAGGTAGATCAGGAGCCTTCAAGAAAAAGTCACTGACAAGCAGTAATACAGCCTCACTATTCACAACAGATTCTGATGCTAGAAGCAGAAGTGTTGGCGATAGCCTCAAAGCAATCTTGCATTGGAAAAAATACTACTAGTCAAGGGAAGGTTTAATTAATTACAGAAGTACTTCCACAACAGCACAAGAGCCTGGACTACATGCTATATTACCAACATAAGTGCAGTGCATTTCAAACAAGTGGCAAAACTTGTTTAGAGATTGCTCAGACCACAGACAAGATGCTGACTAGCACCCAGATCCTCAAAAATATTTGGTGCCCAAATGCCCTTGGGGTTGTTCAACAACAGTGGTTTGGTGCACCAAAACTTTTAATGACTCAATTTTGGTAATTCAAGATATGCCTGGACAATATTTTCAGAAAACTGCATGCAAGCTGTGCCACAGGGTATGCAAATAAAGTCAGCATGCTGCTCAGCTGAGCTAATAAGTCTCAGCACTGCTCTAGCCAAGTTCACACAACTTCTTGTTGACTTGAAGCACTTGCAGGACAAGTCTGCAAGATATTACTTAGTCATACCCTCTTATTGCATCAGTCTTTTGCTGTTGTCCAGAACAGCTGACATTTGGAAATGTAGCTGCATTACCACAAGCTTGATACAAGTATAGAATGGCAGGAAACAGATTAAAAATTTGTTCCCCCTCTGCCCCATTTAGGCTGAAAGATGTTGCTGACAATGACTGCAACACCACCCATGGCAGTCCAACATACTCTCATACTTTTAATTTTCAAAGTTACATTGCACAAAATCTCAAATAAAATTGTAAAATAAAGATTCTTATCAGCAATTTTAATTTACAATGCATAAATATTTTGCTCTCCATAAATTTCCAAGATTGATAAAAGGTTCGACCACAATAATCCAGACTAAGAAATACCCTTCTAAGTACTGCACATAGCTGTTAAAGATCTTCCCGTTGTTAAAACATTAAAATATTTCAACAACTTACAGGGATTACTGCATTGAGGTAAATACTTGTACTCAAAATAGCTTCCTAAAGGTCCCAGTGACAAAGCAGTTGATGTGTAGCAGATCTCTCTCTCTGCTAAGCATTCAAAGAAAACTCTCTATACACTTTTGTTCAAGAGGAGAGCTATGTGTGCACATTCCTCTGTTTCCCCAATAAAGACCATAGCCGTGTTGCTCTCATGTACTGCAACACTTTCAGGAGAGGTAAATATAGCACAATTATCATCATCTCAGTTCCATGGGGCTTTTCATATCTCCAAGAGCAAAGAAATAAGATCACTTAAAAATATCACTGTTAAAAATCAGTTGAAAATTTTCCTTCAACTTTAAAACACACATAGAACCCCAGCATGAAAAGCAGCGTCTACAATGTAAACAGTTTGTTACTAGAGCTAGACGGAACTGCACGGTATTTTTAGCACATACATTACTCAATATATCAGTATCCAAGTAGTAAACTTCACACTTTTCCACCAATGCAGAATCATACAAGTATTGAGAATACTTAAAGTGTTCTGCTGGGACAGGCACAAACTAAAATAGATGAAGTGCTTTCTGTACCTGATTTTCTGAAAACACAAAGCAAGTTTGAAACACTTACTGATTCCATGTTTAATCCAACTTGTTCAAAAGCCATCCTAATTAAGCGCTTAAGCCAGCAAATCATTTGGCACGGAAAAAGCCTTTCCAAACTTGGATTTAAGCCTTCCAAACCTACACGGCTTCGGAGGTTCCATAGTACTTCTGAAACGAGAAACATAAGAACTTTAGATGGGTGTTGTGGAACATATACAGATGTAAATTGCTACATGTATTCCTAAAAGAACAAGCTTTAGACACAGTTACTGAAAGCAAGACATGTTAGATGACAACAATCCCTAGTACTGCAAAGTATTGGCATTCCAGAAGGCATTTACTTAATACAGGTGACAAAGATTTTTAGGAGTGTCATTTTCAAGAAATCAAAGCTGTTGCAAAGCTAATGATTAAAAAGCTGAGGAAATGATTGCTCGCTTGAGTTTGGACAGATGATGGTGTTCAACTCCAAGTGAGCACCGAACACTATGGAATGCCTGCAGCTGGGGACTAACACTAAGATTAAAGGGCCATACTCCTATCTAAAACTCATTTCTATGCAGGAACAAGCTACAGAAAGCTGATCACCTCTCTTCATTCACATTCTCTGATAGTTTTGTTGTTTCCTCCTTTTTCCCACAACTGAGGAGAGAAAGGAAACATGGAAAAATGACTAATGCAAGAAAATGACAGGAAATAGCATAGATGTGGGACCCAAAAATATTCAAGCGATTTATAAAGTTGGACAGATTTCAAATTGTATCTATTTATATCTACTACCATTCATTTAAATCAAGATGGTTTTATTGCTCCTCTAGTGAAAACAGTAGTTTTTCTTTAACCGTGTTCTACACCAATCATAACTTGGATGCCACTGAGAAGTGTATGCCACCAAAACCAAAAAGGAAGCCATAAATTTAGGTTTACATTTGTTTTGTGTATCAGGCTAGAAACAACACTCTGTTGAACCACCTTGAACAACATATTTGTAGTATGAATAATAGTGTTGCTAGAGCCACTACATACATACATATATATTTATACACACATACACACAGAGTGATGACTAAAGCAATGTAGCAGCAAGGAACTGGTACTCAGGAAGTTTGAAAGTTGGGAGATGGAAAAGGTATGCTGTTAGAAAGTGGCCACGAGCATTACAGTTAAACCATCACTGTTTCCATTACAAATGTGGGTTGTTGTTTTTCCAACAGTTTACAGTTCCTTAGTAATAATCTGCTTCTTGTGGAAACTTGGCAGGAACAGTGTAACTCTACAGTTATCTTTTTTTAGATGGGCTTAAAAAAAAAGTTGATATTAGTTTCTCATCACCACAGAAAGTAAAAGACATTTCTTAACAGGATTTTCTTTTGTTTCTGAATAAACTAGGAAGAAACTACTAATCTATCAGCTAAAGGAAGTCTAATGAAAATGTAAAATAAAAAAAGTTATTAAAAAAAAAGTGACCTAATCACCACAAGATTTGAATGGAAACTGCAATTGTTATAAGAAAAACAACAGGGAAGAATAATGGGCTACCTACCAAACAGCCACAAATAAAAACTACAGTTGTACATACTAAATAAGTAAGTCATGGACTTCTTTATGGAAAGCTAGAAAAGTCTATTAGGGAAGCATTACCACCTACTTGATCTGTTCTTCCTTTAGGCATCTGCTATTCTTCCCTTAGACAAGCTACTGTATGCACTGTATGGATCTTTGATCGCACTGCACCTGCTGTGTTTTTAAAGCAGGAAGAATAGAAGTCTTCCTACATGCCCCATATTAGATTTGGCATCGTATCTGTCACTGTAGAGATATGGTGACATAAGAGAGACAGGAATGCTCCTTTAAAAGGGGAAACCTATTCCAAAAGTGTGATACATGTGATGCACCCTGCCTCATTCCAAAGTTCAGACTCGTTTAACATGGAGCGTGGAAATCAAAGAAAAACAGAAGCCGTGCCAAGACATTCCAACAAAAGAGAAAAAAAGGTAGAGTCTGTATTGCTGAGCAATTACAAGGACAGGGCTGGCTGGTAAAGGCAAGTGACAGGACTATACAGGGATGACTGTATCCTGATACATTGCTCTTTCGACACATAGCCAGGTCATTAGTTTAAAAATCCCCAGACATAGAGTCATGTTTTGTTTCAGGAAGTGAAGAAAAGGTATTATTTAGTTTCTGATCAACTAGGAGGACTGAGTCTCTAATAAGACGGACAATTTGGACAGAAGTGAAAAGAGTGTTAGAACTTCCTTTGAGGAAATCAGAGCAGGTCTAGAAAGTTTCCATGAACTCAGAAAAGAGAGGCAAAGAGGCAAAGGAATGACACAAAAACTGACAAGATGATAACCAATTAAAGGCACAAAAGCATATGCAGAAGAAAAAAAAAAAGTAGCCTAATATTTGGATGACAGAATAGTATAAATATGAAGTAGTAAGTTAAAAAAGCCTAAGGTACAAAATGGGTTCCAGCTTGCAGGCATAAAAAGCCCCCTACACAGGTATTAGGAGTAAGCAAGAGACAAAGAGATACAGCCACAATGTAACAGGAGAGGAAGGAAAGCGATGAATGATATAGTCAGTCAGCATATTCTGCGTTTTCACTTGAAAATGATAGAAAGACAAAGGCAGATGGTAAATGGGTTATAGACAACCTTGAAAAGTTATAAGCACCCAGGACAGCAGTGTCTAATGAAATTCACCTTGAACAGCTCAGAAATTAGCCAAAGCAATTTCTGAAATATTACTTTTAGAAACTTGGTCAATGAGATCCAAAAGACCCAGGAATAAAAGAAGGAGCAAGATGACATAAAGCATCGGGAACAGTCCAAAATACTTATACTGCCCTGAAACATTCAGGTGACCTTTTATAATTCCAGGTTCCCAGACTTTGATGACCGAATATAAAAGTGCATTAATTTAACAGAGCAACTACTTCAGTAAAATGATTATTTACAGTTTACATTATAAATGGTTGTTTCTTGTGTAGCCTAAATATTTAAAGTACCCAAGACTGGGGTAATCAACTCATTGCTCTTGTCAATGACCTCTTCTCTGCTTTTGCAGAAGAAAGTGACCAAAGTCAATCTGTAAGAGTGCAGAGTACCAACCAGTTCCTGGCACTAAGGAAAGCCACCATGTTTTAAAAACCTCCAGCTAATTTGTTATCTAAAAGGAGATCTAAGAGGAAAATGCTTCTAAGTATATCAGCTTGATATTTTTATGAGATCTATCCATTTTCTAGAATTATCCCCAGACAAACTTCATACTCATTTCTTCCAGACTATATTGCACTATACCTTTCTTCATAAATCTCAGTTATTTCACAATTATTTTATGTGCCAAGAACAGAAAGAGTTCATTCCAAAAGAAACTGCTGGGCAGCAAGAATGAAAACTAGCAATTTTTTCTCTCATGCTCTGCAGGAGTTAGATGTTTATTGCTTTTAGTAAGCTAGAATAATACCTCTTTTAAAATATTGATGCTTGTTTTATTTAGCCTCTATCTTCTTTATGCTACCTAAACTAAAATTAGCAGTAGTTTAAGTCGGATAAAATTTCCCCAACTCAATTACTACAATAAAATGCACTGCATGATAGCAGTATTGCTCTAAAACATGATCCTTCTGCTGTGCTTAAGCAAAACTATGACAACAATGAACAGTAGTCATAGGCAAGAATACCAAAAGATGTTAGAAGAGTAGTAACACAAAGGATTACATTTCACTGCATAAAGCATGTGGGGGTTGGAATTTCATTTATAAAACCCTACTTACACAGAAATTAGCAATGCTGAAGAACTTACTTTCTGATATGGAAAAATGCCAAGGAATTCCTTGGTTCAGAAATGAGGAGGTCTACATTTCTGAGCATCAGAATTCTCACTTTACCCTCCTTGAACTCTCTTTTGCCCCTACTTTTCCTAACCACTTTTGCAGGTTTCATTCAATACTGTCATACCAAATATCAGCCTAGAAAGCTGAGAGATAATATCACTTATAAATTACAAAATGTTCATTAAATAAATATAAAGGCTCTAGAGGCTGTAGGCATAAGGCATTCCACTCAGTAAACATGAAATGGAGCCCTTTGCTAGGCTTTCTAGTGTGTCCTACACATAAAAGATGAAAAGAAAGAAAAATCAGATGTAACTGCTTTCAAATTTAAATTATTCTATGTGCATTTTCCAATGTTGTATTTATCCAAGTCCCTTTCAAATTATGAGTTCTCACTCTTAAAAAGAAATATGATATTCGTATTTTTCTTACTGAAGGAAGGTTCTCTTATTCATGTAAGATCAACACAAAAATAAAAGAGAATGACTTAATGGGCTTGATGCAGCAGATCAACCTTAACAAAGAATGAACAAATGCATGAAATCTGAAAAGTGAAAGGTCTAGTCTGGAAAGGGTATGTATAACATAAAGAAGTACAAAATTTTCAAAGAAGCGTGGTTTCAAAGGAATACCAACCACATCAAAAAATCACATGCAAAAAGAGCAGGTTCCTCCTTATTTTAGCAGGGAACTAGGGCAAGCATATCTTCACAGTCTTTAAGACTGACACATGATCCAAGCTCATCTCACGAAATTATATTAATAAGGAAACATATTAAAGAAGTAATAAAGAAAAGTCAACAAAAAGTTATCACAGCAACAGCAAGCCAAACAGGCAGAAGAATCTTCTGATAAAGGACTAGACCCTCTCCTACAGCAACACTGACCAGTTATAAGCAATGTATTTGGCAGAGATCATACAGCCAAATAGGTTTGTTTTTTGGCTTGGAAGCCAAAAATAAGGAAGTGCCCTAATACTTTCAGAACGCCTGTTTGGAAAGATACACAGAGAGAGATAAAAGTCACTGAATACTACAGAGACAATCAAGGGCTTATCTAAGCTAATATCAGCATGAAATCTAAAGCAAGAATTGAAAATAATACGTACTTGCAATAGAAGCTGATAAAGCTTTCTTAATAATATAGCCCAATCATATATACATCAAAGTGCAAAACCATGTTCATCACATCTCTCATGTTACCATATCTTGCCAACTAAGGATGGAGAACAAAAAAAAAAATCCATGTTTCAACACTAGTCTAATCAAAAGCCTTTGTTCAGTGGAGATTATACCTACACGGTGCAAGATGATACCA